AGGAAATGCATTAAGTCAACACTGCTCATTTGAGTACAGCCTGTCAAGAAATATTTTCATGCTCTTCTCTGCTTTGAGTAAGACCTTCATTGTTCTTTGAAAGATGTAAGGAGAAAAAAGAACTGAATTTCAACTGGCTCATTAGATGAAAGGCTTTTAATGTGTGCTTCTTGTACCTAGCTTGCACCTGAAGGACTCATTTAATGACTACTCTTTTAGAAAGTTTTAGCAAAAAAAGAAAAGTTTGTGTTGAGAAAAATTACATAACTTTTACATAGGTAAACTGCAAGCTTACTGGCAGTGTTATTTTCATTATAGCTGTAACCAAACATCGCAAAGTTTAAAAAGCCCAGCTTCTCATAGAGCAAGAATTAGTGTTTTGGCATTAACCTCCTGAAAAGAAAGTTCAGCTAAAGAAAGGAAGATGGGTAGAAGGCGATATCAAGAAAGTATAATAAATGGAGATAAATAAAATAAAATAATAAAGGAAATAAATGTATTAGAACTACACACATTACAAGTCTGAATTCATGTTAATAAATTACTCATTCGAGAAATCAGACTGGCAATTTAAACCTTACTACAGAGTCATTTTGAGAAGTGAATTATTAAAAAAATTAAGGTAATTAGCACTAAATTACTTGTAAATAACTACTGAAATAAATTAATAACTGAACTAAACAACTCTATTTTAGCAAGTTCATTTTCTATTAAGAAGTAGAGCATATTCCACTGAGCACCAATGCTTCAGGAATCAGAAAGCATTTTGCCCAGTCTCAAAAACTAATTCAGAATTGCCCTTGCCCAAGTTACAGTCACAAAGGGGAAAAAATATAACAAAGAACAACAACAAAAATCTTACAACATTTCAAAAAATTGCCTGGAAGAGAAATGGAAGAGAAAAATGCAACTATTTTATACTGTGGCTAAAATTCTGGCCATGTGTCAAACTGATTCATTCCAGTGAGATCCAGATTTCATCCCAGGAGCAATTAAATTCTCAGCAAAGCAGTTAAAACCCATCTGTCTCCTCAAGCCAGATTTCAATTATTATTCCATAATCCTATGCCTTATAATTACATTGATGTTCACTCTGCACATACCCAAAAATACTGGCTTTATTTACTTCAGGAAAAATGAACCCAGTGCAAAGATTCACATTGCTACTGGAGCCTACAGGAAAAAGAATCAATCTGACAGTACAGGGAACACTCTGAAAGCTTCCTGTCCAAACCTATTGGCCCAAATGAAATTGCTTGAAAAGAAATGAAAAAACAAACCCAAATCACATTGCAAAAACCTCTCTCGAGAATATTACAGAAAGGAGCCAAAATTATTGGAATGTTTTCAGTTTCAAGTTTTACTTCTTGCAGACTTTGAGCACTAGAATATTGTAGCATCTTTATAACAAGCAGATACCTCAGAACAAGTGCAGCTGTACTACCTATCCTTCTCAATGTAAATCAGGACTTGCACTTGCCAAAAACATTCAAAGCTTCACTCTGAACAAACACACATTAAAGCTTCTGTTTCTCATGTGTCTACTTAATGTGCTGGAGATGAGAAAACACCTCAAACCTTGCTACAGCAAGAGAGGGCAAGCAAAGGAGCCATGAGACTCCAGTCAGGATGCCTGTTTGAGAACACATTGCTTACATGTATGGTGAACAGTATTTTCAGACAAAAATTAACAAAAACAAAAATTAATGGAAACAAAAATCTAGCAAAACTAAACTGCACCCAGGAGTTGTACCTGGCACTGCTGAGCAGCTTTCTGCCATGAAGCAGCAAAGGAACTAGGCACTGCTGTCAGTGACTAAAACCCAGGACAGGAGCAAACAGCACAGCTAAAATCAAGTGAGAGCACCTATGGATAAATACTGCCCTTCCTGCTAAGCTACAGAGCCATCAACTGCTCAGCTAAGCAACAGTCTGCTCACACAGCACTCAACTTGGTGCTCAGCAGCAAAGACCAGCTGTTGAAAAAACCTTAAAGGGCACCAACAAATTCAGTGCTTAGAAATTTAAAACCAGTCCAGCACAAGAAAGTTATCCAAAATAACCAGAATTTCCATTTGGAAGTGGAAATAAAAGAACAACAGAGATAGTGGAATTAGTTACTTTCTGTTATGCAATTAGACAATAAAAATATTTTCATCCTTCCAAAATATCCCACACATTCCTACCAAGCCCTAAGTCCTCCCTGTGATATTCTTTAGATTTGTACGATTCTTAAACCTCCAACACTGGATTACACACTTTCTCTGCAGCTGCTAACTCAGTTAGTAAAAAACAGGAGGACTGTACTAAAAGAGGCCAAATTTTCTTTTATTCTTCATCCCCATGTCTTTAAAACAAAGATGCACTGAGAATTGCAAAGATACTGGCTTTTCTTCTCCCCAAAAAGGAACAATGAGAGGCCAGCAAGCTCCTGCTGTTGCCTTCCTATGCTGGTTCTCATTCCAGAAGCCCAGTTAAAATCCCCTTTGCAAAAGCTGCCCTCCCAAAGATGGTCCAAACACTCCTAATATCACCCTAGTGGGGGCTGCACTGCCATCTATGGAAAAGCTTAGGAAAAGCATTTAGCATCTAGTGTTCGCTGATACTAAGAAGGATACAGCTTAAAAGACTACCAAAACAACAGTGGGATGGAAATGAGGAAGAAAAAAGCAAATTGTGCAGTAAACATGACCAATTACTCAGCACACAGTTCCCTGAACTGTCACTCAGCCACACTGCTTCTACTCACCCAGCCTGGTGCCACAGGAACTCCAGAACTACTGCCTTGGTGACTGCCCTGGAAATACTAAATCCAAAGGGCAGGCTGGCTGGCATTAGTCCAAGCAGTCAAAATTCTTCAATCTGACTCTCATCAATTGGATTTTGACACACAGATATGAACTGCTTTCAACTCACCACACTAGAGGATAGAAACTGCATAATTTGATCACGTATCTGCCAGCAATCAAAACATCTGACGCATTGACTAATCACAATAATTATTCTCAATGCCTTCACTTTTTTGTCTTTCTACTCCCTGCTTGCAGAGAAAAGGAAAAACATAGAAGAAAAGCTTACAGTAACCTACTCAAGAGTACTATTTTTCAGAAAGAATGAAAAACTGCATCAAAAATTCTTCTGCATCTTCAGATTAGAAAAGATCACTGTTTAATCTTTAGACTAAAGATATCAAATATATCATAATTTCTACCAAACCCAACAACTACAGGAAAAAAAAACTACTACTAAGAGGCAATTCAACACTTCAGAGCTCCATTTTTCCCCCTGAAAATCCAAGCTACTGAAAATACATTTCTGCCTTGCAAAAATAAAAGGTGCTATTGATGCTTTTCTCATTCAGATAAATGGCACAGTACAGCAGTAAGCACTGAATTCAGGAAAAGCAGTAACAGGATAAAAAATCAAAATGGGTAGCAACAATCCATGATCTTCTAGATTCAACATCAAGTCTTAAAATCTCCTTTCTCCACTTCCTCAAAAACTAGTAAATACATTCTTCCATTCTTAAGCCCTCTCTAAAAACTGTTTACTTTCAATAAACAAAAATAATCCAAAATATTGAACAAGAATATCAAAGGCTCCTAATGTACCTCTCATCTGCTTACAACAGCTTCTGTCAATCAGCTCATTGATTCAGTAGGAACTCATACCCATGCACAAATTAATTCACAGGGGCTACACGTATCAAAGCCTAGATATATACTCTGAAAGCACAGTAGAAGTGTCTTCCATTTGTTTGTTACTTTTCAGTGTATGTATTAAAATATCTATGTTTAAAACTTACCAAGGACAAAGTTTAAAAACTTCCCTCTTTTCTTGGCATGTGCATGCATGTGTCTGCAACAAGGGCATTTGTCTTTGCAGTGGCCTCCATGAAACTTTTCCCTGTAAACACCAATAAAGCTACAAAACTCACACTACAAAAATCTCTAACAGCTTTTCCAAGCTGGCCACAATTGCCACAAAAATTGTTAACACAAAATTAACCACAAAATTTAACCACTGCTAAACTCTTTCAAGCACTAGATCCCAACATCATAATTTAAGACAGAGAGCAAACAATACCACAAGCAGCTGAAAATATATCAGGAATTGATATTAAGTTACACACAAAGAATGTAATTACCTATCTGTGCCCAAGTCTGAAAGTGGTATTTACATTACTGAATTGGCAGTGGTGACACAGTACCCAACACGCCTGAAACTCACGAAGCATGACACATCAATTAAACCAAACTGGTTTTGTCAAATGCTCTGATTCTTAGCATCATGTTAATAAAATCCAAGTTGCTTGATTCAGAAGTCTGTGCAGATAAAGAAGTATAAACAAGGGCAGATAGAATTTTCTTCAGGCCCACTAAAAGTACAAGGTTGGCTCCCTGATTTCAGATGGGGGATCACCACATAGCAACAACTCTCCATCCACCCTCCTCACATTTCATGATGCTTCTTGCACATCAGTTTGAGTTCAGCAGCAAGAAAAAGGTTGTGCTGCATTTGTGTATCCCACTGGAGATGCACAAAGAGCCCTGCTACAGTGAGCTACAGCCAGGTCTCCACCTCAAAGATGCCATGACTGACTGAAGAGAGAAATCAAATGTCTGCTTCAGCTCACAAGGGCCCTATGAGCACAGAGTACAGAACAACAAATGCAAGAAGCCACAGAGGCAACAGCTATTTCCTGGCTTTTTCACTCCTATCTTTAGAGATTGCTAGAAGGTGTTGAACCTATACTTTGCAGAAATCAAATTCCTTTACTCTTTGTGAGCACTGCTATGAGACTGCATAAGGAAGAACCTGTTTTGTCCTGACTTTAGCATAAGGAAAGAAAAAAGGTGTGCAAACAGCCTGATCAAGGTCACTTGGTCCAGAAACAATTATAGCTTTTTTTAAAAAAATAACTAGTATTAAAAAATATACTTAATAAGCAATAAACTCAACACATTGTAATAATTCAAGTTATGAATATAGATACATACTATGCTGTTCATTTCTGAAGAGTCGTAACTTCCACAGGGATGGACACTTCCTATAGGTTCCAGCCCTTCTTCATCCCACATGTATGTGCCATCAGAGCTGTCAGATGGAGAAAGCTCAAAGGAGGAGCCAGCTCTGTAGTTCATCTCTGAAGAGATGACATTCTCAGTAGTGTGTTTTGTGCTTTCGCTGTTGTCATCCACTGCTTAAAGAGAACAGCATCAGTTAAGATTACCAAAACAATCCAATAATCAAAAAATAAACATTAAAATGCCTGTTACTGGTGTGCTACCTTTGCTGGAGCTGTACTGTAACAGAAATACCTGAAAGCTTTCTACAGTATTGTTCCCTGATCCCAGAAGGGGGAAAGTTTAAGCTGGTTTGGCAGCTACAACCAAGGAATCTTCCAACCTACATCATTGCTAACCTTTTACACTGCCCTAATTCACCCACTGTGGAAGCTGTTTTCTAGAAATCTGCATCTCTTTAACATATTAGAAGATGGGTCCAAAAATATATCCTTTGGATCTAGTCTTGCAATTGCAACATCCCTCAAACAAGCTTTTATCATGAGAAGCCCATCAAAGATTTGAAAATGTGACTTTCAAAAGCATCTTCTTGTGTCTTCAACTAATTTTTAAAGAATTAAGATGCATCAGAAAAAAAACAAAAAAAGACCCAGTAACAATCCTGTTTATAACTGAGCTAATTCAATTACACATCCTACACTTATTTCCACTACTTAGAAGCAGTTACAGCTGTTCTCTGCCTACAGAGGTGGAGGGAGCATGAGGTGAAATTTTCTTAAAATATCACCAACCCAGAAAATGAATGGCATAGCAAGGATACAAGGAATCCCACAACCACAACACAAATGTGTTCAAAGGAGGTCAGCTTCATTTTTATCACAAAGAGCTCCTCAAAGTAATGCTTGGGAAAAAACTATAATGCAGAAAAGGCAGAAGCAAACACATATGTCAGCATAGAGCAGTTCCATTCTGAAACAAATCATAAGCAATGAGCAATTACATTAAATAACTTAATTAGCATTACAGAATTTTGACTTAGCATTTAAAATTTCAAACAGAACATAAAAATGTATTTACCAGACACATTTATATCAAGCCAGTCATCAGCATTACAGTGAGATCTTCCACCTTCCTTGAGAGACGTGAAGGGCTCGATGGACGTTCTGCCCCCATGCTCTAATTCCTGAAGGCAGCTCTCCTTCTGCTGGATTTGTACAGTTCTGTTTGCCTCTTCTATATCTATGAAATCGTCACTGAAGTCTTCACTCAAATCGTTTTTCTCAGAGGATGACAAAGAAGATATCGATATTTCATCTCCATCATCGCTCATACACATCACTTTTGACCCATGTTTTCCCAGACTTTCATGCAGGGCTTCCCCAGGTTCTGTTCTTTGAGCCCTGCTCTCCAGAATGCTGTTTTTATCAACGGCTCTGTTGATGTTTGCTGAGATCTCCGCACTCTCCACCAGGCACGCGTCCGGAGCCGCGCTTTTGCTGCCATCCACAACGGCGTTCCCAGCAAAGCGCTGCCTGGTTGGCTTCAGCAGAGAAGGCCGACTTAATCTGTATCCATAGGAAGGTGCTGACCCAGATCCATTTGACAGTGGGGGTTTCTTGGAACAGGGAGCTGACACAGCCGAGTACGGTCTGGTAAATCCATACTTCAGCGGCTCGTTTCCATTGGGTACATCCAACTGACACGCGTTCCTTGACAGCAGAGCAGACCTCTGAGACATCCTGGCAGCGAGATTTTGACTATGATAAGGCCTTGTAAGATCCACAGCTTTGTTAAAGGAATGTGACCTGGTTAGAGATGCAGTGGGAAGGAAAGAATTCTGAACGGAATGTGAGAAACTTTGTGATCTTACCATTTTGTCACAGGAAAAAGCCTTGCTGGCATTGTCTGTAGACTGTGCCAGGCTTTCTCCTGAACTTGTCCTTGTGGCACCAGAATTAGCTCTAGGTCTCTGCAAACCTACCACCGGCCGATTTCCATAAAATCCATTTAAATTTGATCTTGGAGCATTGAGTCCAGAGTATGTCCTTCCTGACAGGGTACCTTTGGTGAATTTAGCTGAACTAGAGAGTCCAGGTATAGACTTTGGATTTAATTCCTCAGTAGAAGATACAAACATATTGGTTTGCTTTGCTGCTTTTGACACAACCGAAGCAGTACTGTTTAAACCCACCCTGAGCTCATCATTGCCCAATGCTCCTTGAGATTGAGGGTACTTCTCAGAATCAATTAATTTTTCATTAGAGTTGCGTCTGGTGTTGGCTTCTCTCCCATTCTGATCATTAAACTGATATTTATTTGATTTTTTCCAGTTGAAAGCAAAGGAAGACATTCCAACAGTGCCATTGTGCTTGTTGAAATTTTTGCCACCATTACTCCCTGCTAAGTTCACGGCTGTCCCGTTTGGCATCGGTTGCAAAACAGCCCCCAAAGTTTTCATTCCATATTTCGGTAGCCTGGAAACCAAGGATGTCCTGTTTTGATTTCTTTCTTCCATGAGCTATTGGGTACATTGGTCCTTAAAGGGTGCTTGAATCTAAGAAAGGAAAATAAAACAACATTAAACCTGAATCAACCACATATTAAACACAGTTTTCTACACATTTGCAGCTATATGCTTCCTAGATTTCTGTGCCTAACTCCACTATGCTGATAAAAAGTAACCCAGACATTTTGTGAACTCCAGATTTCAAGCAGTTATCTGGCAGTAATATGTTCTTCAGATGACAGCTCCCTCCCCCAACTTTCATTCTCAACACAAACCATCTCTTTTGTTTTGCTTTCCTTTTGTAATTAATAAAATATACTTCAGAAGAGGTTGGATGATTTTTTCTTGGATTTTTTTTACCCATTCTCAGCAACAAACTGAGCTTTTAACTGTTACAATTATTAAGTCATAAACTTAAGATTTAGTCTTTTTAAAAAGCCACAAATATAACATAGCAAAAACCCGTGGTCAGCAACATAAACCTGCAAAAAACAATAATGTAAAATCTGACTAAAAGCGATTTTATTGAGATTGTTTTCTGTTTCCCCAATGCCTGAAATACAGGAAATAACTACTCATCATCCATCTCACCACAACATTTTTTCTTCCCAGACCTTATGGATCTCCCCAAATCAAGATTCACATTCTTAGTCATTGTTTTCTCTTGGTATGGAGACTGTAGTCTATTTTGGAAATCATCTTATTCACACATAAACCTGAGGTACAGTGCAACAGTTGCATAAGGTCAGCATTAGTAAGTGAATTCAAAAGTTCTACTTATTCAAAGTACACAGAATATCTTGTGTAACCACAGCAAGCATTACCCTAAAGTGAATCACTCCCCAAGCTGCAAGGCTCACTAAGAAACATTTAAATTCTTAGTGATACAGTTGAAGATAAAATCAAAGATAAGATCGAAGTGGCATTAAATTCATGCAAACTGCAATACCCTGAGGATTTGTCAGGGAATAGGATGCCCCAGAGCAGTACTTCTGGAAGCAGATCTACATTACAAAGATAGAAAGAGAAAGGTACTGCAGACAGGGCATTTAGGGGCTCCTAACTTGTTAGAACACCAGAATCCACATTCTGCAACTGGTGTGTGCACTTCCATTTCAGAATACACAAACCCCGACTTTTCAAAGACTCAGTGAATTCTTGCACAGCAGAGACACTGCCCTCACCCAGGTGTGCAAAGAAGGACACAAGTATTTTCTCCCTGGGACAAGCAGAACATCTCATTCACCATGTATGACACCTGCCTGCATGTGGATTGAAGTGTCTAATGTTAGACTTCTTGCCTACCTGCACACCTTGCACAGGAAAATAATATCATCAGGCTTTATTAGCAACATCAAAGATCTTTACTTCATGTCAACTACATGCAATAAAGTACACCTTTTTTTTAATAACTCTATGAATAAAAAATGGCCTTTAATATGCTGATGAATTCATTCCCAGCAAGCATCACAGTGCAGATCCCTCAGAAGATAACCTAACTCTAAAGAAAAGGCAAGTCTTGTGAAGAAATCTTCCAAATTGAAAAAGTTAAATTAGAAAGCTGCTAATTTAACTTGCATGCTTTATGGATAATTCCCTTTTCACATCTGTCTACCATCTCTTAGGTGACTGCAAAATTTAAATGAGGCCATTTAATTAGATTACTTTAATCCTCCACCAAGTGCTGCAAATTAAACTTGAAAAGGAGACCTTGCAGTTCTCTAGGAAGGGCTCTTGCTCATTTATCCTTGATTAGGAAAAGACAACACATTATCTTCAACAAAACCATACTGATAGCCCAGAACACTTCTGATAATTAAATTAAAAAACAAACAATACTTCTCTGTATTTTATTAGCTATGTAACTGTAACTACTGTGCCACTTCCTGGACGCCAAATGTTTCATTTGTTTCATTGAAACACAATGTCATCAAAAAAAACCACTAAAACTTAACAGCATCATGTCTGGCAGATGTTTTCCAGAAAATGGGGAATTTTCTTATTAAGTTCTCTAAAACTTCCTTACTCTTTAGCTATGTTTACTAGAACAGATTAAACCAGCCTCACAATTAAACTCCCTTATCAAGCAGCACTGGTACCACTTAGAGTATGATTTCTGCATCCCAGAAGATTCAAGTTCAATACAATTTAAATTGCAGCCTACTGTACTATAAAGAAATTCAAAGTATTTTTAGACTTAAGTAATCTATGGATTTTTAAAAAACTGACATTTGGGCAAACAAGTTTTATATTCTTTGCCTTGGGAAATACATTATCTAGTGCACACAAGCCTAATCAGGAATTAAGCTAATTATAAAGAGCCTAGCCTTAAATAATGATCCAGGGAAAAGGAGTTAAAATCCACAGACCCCCTCTGAAGTATAATCTGAATTAACTGAAAAGCTGCTACATCCTTACCTTCAAGGATATTCAAGATCCTGGTGATAAGCAAAAGGATATTAATTCTCACCCTCCTTGGTACCTCCTCTACAGGATTATTTACACCTCAATAAAATCCTGCACTCTTAGTTTTAACTGGCAAGCACAACATTCACTGTAATTTCATTCACAGTTTGTTTCAGCACCACCAGGAAGGCAGTTTCCTATACATTAGCTTCTCAGCAAAGTCCAGCTTTGCACCTGAGACTCTGCCCTACAGAAGAAGACAGCTTAAAGATTCACACATTTGAAAATGTATTCATACATTTTAAAATCCTGCAATCTGTAGGATCCCTGCCACCAGGAAGATAACAGCATTTTCCAGTTCCAGATTCCTGAATGGGACTGAATTCCCCTCCTCTTGTCACAGCAGTGTGGAATACCCAGCTGAGGGATGGAACCCATGTGACAGGCTGGTGACAGGCCAGAGAAATTCCCCTTGCAGTCCTACTGCCATGGCAGCAGTTTCAGATCTGTGTTTCACTCACAGGAATTGAAGTGCATGTGTATTTCAGCTGTGCCCTGTGCACAGCTTATAAAACCACCTCTTACACCTCTGGGTTATTAAAAATGCATTACATCAGTTATGTGAAAATATCTTATTTCCACCAATGTAGGGAGGCATTGAATGTCATCAGGGAAAAGTATGGGAGGTCCTTGCAACAGAAACAGCAAAAGGTTTCTTTAGCACTCACTTAAGAACATTCCAAGATGGGCAGCATGACTGCAAGTCAATTTTCAGCTTTAAAAGGACCATGGGAGCTTACTAGAATGGAAGAAACTGGCAAGAGATCCAGCTGGCAAACACCTGCTCTGAGCATGACAAGCCCTGGGGAATTCAAGATCATGAATCCTGAGGAAATCATGCATGCTGTATGAACTAAAATGAATCAGAATGCAACCACAAATTCTGATGGCTTCAAGATTGAACTTTGAGTATTTACAACTTTTTGTGTTGTTTATTCTGCACAGAGTGGTTTCAGTTCAGTCCAAAGTGCCACTTTTACTCCAAGATCCAGTAAGATTTATCAGCTCTGTAATAAAAACCTCCAAGCCTGCTTTCCTTCTCCTGTCTTCCATTTCTCCAAAACACCTGTTCTTGATTCAATTCCCAATGTTTTATGAAGGCATCTCTGAATTCAGCCACTCTCCTTTTCCTATGTCCAAACTACAGAGATTAACACCAGCTTCCCTGACACTGCCTTCTGAGGGTACCATAGCCAGGAAGTACAGCAAGAAATTCCAAGACTGTAAGGGCTTCCTGTTCTATTTCTCTGAAATTGCCTTGCTTTTCTGTGTCCCAAAATGTGAGATTCTGTTTTCAGGTCTCAATGCAGCTTAGAGATACGCCCTTTTCTGTTTTTCAGCCCTAACACTAACGAGGTTCTACCCACTTTGAAGGGCTGATCTAGCAAACACCAACCAACCAGTTACCCAAGCTGCTCTTGTGCTCAATTTCCTGTCAAAATACACTAGGTCAAAGAACAGGAGCAGAACATGATAATGAATAAAGGGAGAAGGAAGCAAGAAATGCATCATAAAGAGTTTCAGTATTTTTAACATTAAGCAGTCTCTTTGGTCAATAAAGCAGAAAATGTGACATCCCTTGTCAACTCTAAAAGCATTCTTGCTATTCATCAGAATTCTTAATGTTTGATAAGGCAAGAGGACATAAGCACTTACTGGAGAAAAAGAAATTGGGAAATGCAGCTCTGTTTTGTAGAAGAAAGCTACCACAATACTTCCAGAATCAAAAACTCCCTCTGCATCCCTCAGGGCCACACTGTCAGTTCACTGTGCCATTAATGCTGTTTACATGGAGCATCAGGCACCTCAAGGAAGCAAAAAAGGGCCAAGTGTTATCTGCCCAGACAAGGATACTTTGTAATTGTTGTCCACTTCTGCTTTTCATAATAGTCAAACAGAAACTATGCATTTTAAACTCCAAATTTTTACACCAAACCTAACCAAAACATTGAAACAAAACAGGGTATGAGTTATCAGAAGCCCCTTTAGATTTTATGGAAAAAAGTCATGCAAATTTTATCTACAAGAAAAACTTTTGATAAAAATTTGTTTCTCAAACAAGTAAAGTTGCACTGATTTTTGGCATCCTTACACAACTGACAAGGTGGAAGGCAGTCAAGGTCCAGATGTTTAGCCAGCTGCAGCAAGGAACAGCTTCAGCACAAAGAAAAGAAGATGGAAGAGGATACCTGAGGGTACAGACCAATTACTCCCAGTAAAAGAGACTATCAGGGTCTCTTGTAAGGAAGAAGAAAGCCTTGACAGTGCCATTTCAGGTTCCTCATAAGTGTTAATGCAGGTTATTATGGTTTGCTGATAAATGAGACGTGAAGTGCAAGGACAGTTACTCTTTGCTGCCTTAGTGCTGACAGCCTAACTGCTGTCAGGGACAGGTCAGCCAGAAACTGGAATAAAGCACTGGAGATGCACAACTCCTCTCTGAACCTGCTTTCCATCTGATGCATCCTCTTGCAGGAAGTCATCAATTCCTTTCTTCAGCAGACCTTGCTCAACCTGGATGAGCAATGTCAAGCCTGTAGCTGCAGATACAAACACCAGGCAGCCCTTGCATAACCAGCTCC